AAGCTTGATTTGGAACCAGGTGTTCCTTTATATGCATTTAATTTTAATTTGAAAATCCCATTTGGCATCTCAAGTCATGGTTATTCCACACGGTTTACAGCAATAAAACCTTTTTACAGTTTTCACCCTCTTAGGGGGGAAAAGGTGTGTCTTATACTCCAAAAAATACGTTACGTTCATTTCTTGTGCCATTCTTCCTCAAAACTGGTAATCTTTCTCCTTGCCAGGAGTTAAATTAGAGAGAATTTAATTGCAGGGTTAACAGCGATATATATATTTGATAATTAAAGAAATGCATAGACCTTAAGTGCCCTGTAAATTAGCTGCTTCAGCAGAATAATTTTTTAGGATCATCTGATTTATTTTAAATCTTTATGTAACTGTCCATGTTATAACAAACTCAGGCTGGCTCCCAATCAATAATTAACTTAAAAACCATATTAAAATTAAATGCATATAAAGGAACACCTGGTTCCAAATCAAGCTTCTGGTGGGCAGAGGCCTTTTCTTATCCCATGCTACATCTTCCATGCTTTATGGAAGATTAGGAAGATAAAGGCCTGCCAAACTTCAGGGGGAAGAGTGTCTGATAGGGCAGGCGCTGCAACAGAAAAGACTTCCTACCTCCTATCCATTAGCATTATTTAAGGGACTGGCAGTGTTCCCACCCTATCTGACTTGGTGGAACAGATGGTCGCAAAAATAATAAAGGTGGGGCAATAGTGATAAGTGCCCTGGTGGCTCAGTGGTTAGAATGTGGTATTGCCAGCTGCCTGCCCACAGCTTGGAATTTGATCCTGAGGGGGCTCAAGGTTGACTCAGCCTTCCATTCTTCTGAGATCGGTAAAATGAGAGCCCAAGATTGTTGCTGACTCTGTAAACCAGAGGGGTGAAACTCAATTACATTGAGGACTGCATCAGCATTATGGTTGCCCTCAAAGGGCCAGTTGCACGTAAGGCTATGATGACTCACAGCAGCCAGGTGGGCATGGCTGGGTTGCGGGTGATGAGGTAGACGTGGCCAGGTGTGTGTGGCCTGCTCGACAATGCTCACTGGGCATGGCTGACTGTACAGCTGGGTCAGTATTGAATAAGTTGCACTGACTAACTCAAGGTGGGCACAATTCGGTGTCCCGCAAGTTCCCCAACTTTAGGCAGCAAGGAATTCGCCTAAAAAGCCCTAGCAGGATTTCTGTCTAGAGTTCCCACTCACTGTCTCCTGGGTTCGTCCATTCCGCTCCTGAGGTTGGAAAAGAAATATGGAGGGCTCTAAGGTGAGAAAAGCATTTGGTGCCAAACTTTCCGTTGCTAAGAAAAGATGGAACACCCATAGGAAATACTGTGCTAAACATGGATGTAAAGGAAAAGAAAATCTCAGCAGAGACAAGGGGTCAAGCTTCAGTCTTACAGCTTCAGTTAAGTTGCAGAGGGATGTTTGGAGGGGTTATCCTGCACACACATCCCAAGAGGAAAAACTGGAACTATGGGAGGTGCACTTTCTCCCTTCCTGTTTGCACATCATTTCCAGCCC